TTGCTTCTAATTCTTTGTGGTAGGCACTAACATCTTTCATGTTTCTGATTGCTTTCTCTGTTCTCTTGACTTTTCCTCATATTGTGAATAATTAATGAGGCTATTCTTTGAGTTTGAGTGGGATGCCCCAGGGTATGTTATCTTTCTCGACTCTTCAATCTGATAGCACGATTTCTCTATAGCAATTGTATCTTCTTTATCAGATGTCACATACTGAATAATTTGATTTGATCCATCTGGTACTGAATCTGATGTTTCTTTCCTTATATCCGGAGGTAACCCTTTCAATTGTTCTGGCCACTGGTCTTGTAGTCCCTTATAAGATTGTTCCATTGTTTTCATGATGACAGTAAAGTAATATGAATGAATGACCTTGGTTTTACTGTTACAAAACCTTCATTAATTATTAACATGTTTTATAACTAAAGTACATGAAAGTACTTAAATAAAAATGTGAAAAAATGCATAAATGGAAAAATAAGAATGCAAAATGTGCAATTCAAAGATATAAAAAGTAAAAATACAAAATGAAAATGCACAGATACAAAATGTAAATGCATATATGAAAAGGTGTTACTTAAGAGTGATCATCTTAGAACAGATTTCATTGAACACAAAAGTTTCGGTACATCAAACAAAACTTTTACATGTAGAGGACAACTTTCAGTCCTAACTTCAACAAAACTTTACATATAGGGAATAACTTTCTATTTTCTTCCTAAAACCAAGTTAGTTATCAGCTTATGGGCCATATTACTTATCTGGACTGCAGCTTCTTCCATGACATTCTGGTGTTATTTCATCTCCTATGTCAATTCTCGGAGTTGCTCATTTTCCCTTGTGAGAGAACATTTGTGTTCAAAAAGTTTTTGGAGAAGATCTTCATGTATGTTGCAACTCTTTTTCAGTTTGGTGACCCCTGCTATCCACTCTTCTGGGGTGTTTCCTATACCAGCATTTTGAAAGGCTTGACTGACCTTCTGGAAGTCTTCATGTATGGTTTCCATTTGGTACTCAATTTATCGTTTTCAATCTTCAAATGACGTATTTGAGCTTCAAACCTGAGCAAATCTTCTTCTCTCTGGGCGCCCCTACTGATATCCTTACCTTTGAAGACTTTTGGTATTAATCTATCAGGACCCTCGGTTACCAAACTAGGTCGATTATTTACCATAAATTGTAAGGTTCCATGATCCAAAAGACTTTGGACTCGGCGTTTGAAGGCAAGACAATTCTTGATGGTATGCCCTTGAGCTCCGGCATGATATTCACAATGAACGTTGATGTCATACCAATTTGGATACGGAGGTTGGAACGGTTTTATAATATGGATCCACTTCTCGTGCTTCAAGTAGCTTCTCATACAACTCTTTATGATATGGGGATAGTATCAAGATGAGAACCACCTTTTGTCTTGGATTGAACCTGAGTTTTAGACATCGGGAGCAGACCAAACTTTGATGATTTTTGATTACATGATTTCTTCTCTTGTCTGGGAGCTTGTACAGTCGTCATCATTTCTTTGGTATCTCCAGACGATTTGTGAATACGAATAATGACTGTCTGTAATTTCTCAAATTGGTTAAGAATCGAAATCCCTTGCGTATCTGAAATGCAGAGTTAGGTTTATTGAGCTCTCTCTCTTTCTGTGCTGGAATCTCTTTTCCTTTGGCCAAAATAGATATTCTATCCATCATCTTGGTCATCTGCTCTCTTATTTCTCGTATCTCCTTTTGCTCTTCAATGGTCATATGATCTTTGGGTGCATAGCTTGCTTCTATCCTCAGAATTTCCTTAGGATGTCTTTCTTTGGCCGCATCATATTTTGTTTGATCATAAAACTTTTTGTCCATTTATGATTTCTTTCCAATATGATGAACAATCTTTCAAGTAAACACCTTTTGGTCATGATCATGCAATGCAAACAACAGAAAATAATTTAAACAAATTAGAGAAAAAATAACATACATGGGAAAATAAAAAAATAAAATGGTTAATACCAACTAATTGAAAGAAAAATTTATTTATCATGGTATATAATAAATCCTAACCTCATGCTTTCTAGTTCCATGCTTTGTTTGGAAAAATTAACCTAACCGCATGATTTCTAGTTCGCATGCATTTATTCAGGGAGAAAAAATAATAATAAAATAAATTAAAATCTAGAACTTATTTCTCCTTTGTGTACACCTATGAATATAGGTTCAGTATTGTCTTAGATTAAGTGAATTTCTAGGGTTTATTATATGCAGAGTTTCAGTTCTAGGAGTAAAGGTACTCGAATTGTCCTTGTTGATGCCCCCTTGAGCTGTCAAACCTCAATCCTAGTCCATTACAGACTTAAACGGATCAAGTTCAATTCGAGGGGACACATTTCTCTATATCTGACACGGAGAATAAATTCTCACGAAGACATAGAGCATATGAACCCCGAAAGTTACTTGCTAGGTCTGACACGGAGAATGAATTCTCACGAAGACGTCGCTTTCACTCCCACTTAAAAGGGACAAGCTCAATTATAGAGCTTTATGTTATGCAATGCAAGTGTTGTGTGTGAGGAGAAATATTCAAACCTCTAACAGATAAATAAAATAATTAATACCTGAATAAAAAACAATATTAATAAAATAATAAATAATAAAAATTTGAAAGAAAAGAATTAAAAATTAAATAAATGAATTTTTAATTTCTAATTAATAGAGAATTATAATTGATTTTAAAGTTTGACACGTCCCAGCGGAGTCGCCAAGCTGTCGTAACCGGTTTTCGTCCGGGCACGAAATATTTATTGGCGGAGAAATTAATTAATAAATAATTTTGAAATAATTGGGAGTCGCCATCGGCCTTTGGGTCAGGTAGGTCGAATACCTAAAAATTATTTTTTAAAAGAGTTTTAATAAAACATCAATTTAAAAAAAATAAACTGATCTGCGTTTATAACCAAAAATTCGTTCTTTTTAATAAAAAAAGGGATTCGTGGTCGGTTACGTTTAGGGAAGGATTAGCACCCCTACAACGCCCAAAATTGGTACTTTTTAATTATCAATTGTCTCTATTATTAAAATTTTAAAAATTCAAAAATATATTTAATTTATAATTCTATTCTTTCAAAATTATAAAAATATTTATTATTTAAAAATATCCGAAAAGAACTTCTAGGTGCCTTAAGACAGTTCTTTTCTTTGATATTGATAAGTATGAATTTAAATAATATTGTTTAATTTTTAATTTTAAAATATCAGAATAGAACATCCAGTTGTATTAAGACTGTCCTTTCTTCGATATGGAAAAAACATTGTTAAATAAATAATGTATATTATAATATAGTAAAACAATAATTAAAGTAATGATTGAAAATATTATAATAAAAATTAAGTTAAAACTAACAATGATTAAAATAAATAAAATAATAAATGTAAAATTATGAACATAACCATCATAAATAAAATTACTAATAATGTAATTAATCCTTAATTAATTAATCAGTGATTAAAATAAATTTATCAAAGTTTAAAGGCTCTATCTCGAATAAATAAAACTTAAGTGCTAAAATGTAATTTAGCCTTATTTAATTAATCGGATTAAAATAAACGTTAATAAAATTATAAGGTACTAAATCAGTTATTACCCTAAATAATATATAAACTGATAATGACTAAAATGTAATAAAATAAAATTGAATGATATGATTAAAAGAATTAAAACTTGCTTTTAATGACTAATTTGTAATGTTACAAACTAGGAGTGACTGCGGAAGGGTTTACCCATGATGGAAATTACACAGATACCCTCTCCTTAAACGACGTCGCACGGATGAGGGTATAACCCTGAATGCCTGGCCCGAAGGGCCAAGCTTCTCATTTGCCTCATTTCTTTCTTTCTCAAGACGAGAGAACCAGAGTTCTCTCTGGTTTCCCTCTAGTTTCCCTCGCCGGAGGGAAACCGGCGGCCATGGGCCACCGTATTCCGCCGCCGGCCACCGCCGGCGGCCACCGTAACGGTGGTCGGAATTCACAAAAATACCCCAAAAACGTAGATCTAAATGCCTAAGACCGATTCCGGTCTTTGTTTTCCATAAAAGACTCCTAATCGGAGTAATCTACGAAAATACCTTCGGTATTTTCTGTTCCGACGATGTTTAGTGCTTCCGACGGTGGTCAAGGCTCCAAGGGTAAGTTTCTTTTCTTCTTTCTTTGTTTTCTATTTTTTTTTTGGTTGTTGGTTGCTGTTCGTTTGTGTTCTTTTCCTCCTCTGTTTTTTTTTCGTTCTGTTTTTTTCGTTCTCTGTCGTCTGTGGCTGTCTCCTCTTGCTTCTTTCGCAGGTATGGTGGCTTTTATAGCCACCACGAGGTTCTGTTTGGACCGGTTCCGAGAGGGATGTCTAGGTGAGTCACCATAGCTATGCTGGTGACTCACCATGGAGCTCGATTTGGGCTGCCATCTGGTGTTCTGGAATCTACGGCGGCGAGGTGGCGTGGCAAAAGCAGCGTCGGCAGCGACTGGTTGGACCATCTGGCAGTGGAGGCGTCGGCAGCAGCGTCTGGAAGCTGGAGAGGCAGCTTGAGCCCTCTGGAAGCGGCGGCTGGGAGCTAGGGTTTGAAAACCCTAGCTGAAATCTTACATATTGTTTAGGGTTTCTGGTTGGCTGGACCGGTTCTGGTTGGCTTGTAACTGGGCGGTCCAGTTGTAATTATTTATTAAATAATAAATATAATAATAATAATATATAATAATAATAATAATAATAATAATAAATAATTATAATTAATAATAATAATAATACTAATAATAATAATAATAATTTCAATAATAATAAATTTAAATGAAAAAAATGATGTCTACATTAATGAATTGTTTCAAAGTTTTACTGCTGAAATTTTTTACCTAAAAATGGATCTGATTCATTTCCCACTCCTCTTAGTGAATGCGGCATTCTCGGAATCGATTCTTTTCTTATGTATGCATCGATATTACTGATTGTAGCTATTCCTGATTATACAGATACGCCGATAACGTCAAAAGGCAATTCGCTGAGGAGGTAGGAGAGAATAGTGTTCTTCTCTTTTTTCTTTTTAATTTTTTTTTTTGGTTACAAATAGTGTTCTTCTCTTTGTTTCTCATAAATGCATATAGAATTTGGTTACAATTTTGCTTAAAAAGTTTGTTTTGCAGGAGTTCAATGCTATAAAAAGGCTATACAGTGGGCAACAAGGGCAGACATATACATGTGTTGTCACGGTATGATGTTCTTATGGGACATCTTTTCCCAGATTCTTATTGCTTTTTATGTGTTTCTTATCTCTTTTCTTAAGCTTTAATATAGAGGTTCTCTGTTTCTCTTCGTTACTGGGATACATACAGTTCCTATGTTATATTCTTAACAATTTTCGTAAATGTCGGATTCTCAGGTTAGGAAGGAGGAGAGGAATGTCAAGCACACGGTGTTGAAAAGTGTGGTTGGAACCCTTGATTTCAGCATTCGGCATTTGTTGCACGGAGAGTCTTTTCCCGGGGTACGGTGCACATTCTTTTATACTCACTGCTATTTTCTTTCTTGGTATAGGTAGATAGGTTGTGTGTTAAGATAATGTGAATCTGACCTCTTGCAGGAACGTGAAAAGCATATGTTCTGCAGCATCAGCAGAACAGACCTGAATAAATATGTTTATGTTTCCAACTTATGTGTAGCAAAATCAGCTCGTAGACAAAGCATTGCTAGCAATATGTTGTATTATGTTATCGAATCAGTGAGATCGAAGGGTAAAGAAATTACATACTTTTACTTTAGAAGCACCTCATCTTATGCAATAAGTGAAGAAAATGCCTTCTAAATTAGTCCAGTTGGTTGCAGGTGTGGAACCAGTTACGTGCATGTTCATAGAAACAATGAACCCGCTCTTGAACTGTATCAAAAGATTGGTTTTGAGGTAATTCCATTTACTCTAGAATTTACTCTCTGATTTCATTCAGTTCTATTCAGTTTTCGCATGGGCTGATTTACATATATATATTTCTTTGATCAACAGATGGTTGAAATGGCAAATCACTCTTATTGAAGCAGCAGATGTACTTGCTTTGTTACAAGACATGAAATTTCTGTTGAAACATAAATCCAGGATTTTTTTTTATTTTGAATGAAAGAAAAGAATCCCTTTACGACTATGTAATCTTGTCAGGATTTGAATGATTTAGTGATGGGGAAATATTAGGATCTAGTCCCCAAATATGTAATCCACTGCCATTACTGCTTAGGGGAGTTTATGTTTGGAAATCAAAAATTGTAAATGCCTTCAGATTTCTTCCATTTCTATTCTTTGATGTTAAAAACACAATTTTTATTGTATTATGTTTCGGCCTGTTACAGCTGGATCGTCTATTTCTTGTTACAGTTAGTATTGCCGTTCTCACAAGATTCAAACACATGGATTCTAGCATCTGTGGCTGCATCAGCCAGTTTATTAAACCTTGTTCGTTATCTGCAATTTCCCCTTCTTGTTGATATGATCTATCAATTATATTTCTCAAAACATGAATCTCATTCATGGAGAAGTACGAAAACATCAATTGATTTGGTATTACAGTTTATGTTCTGGGATCATCCATGCTTACAAAGCCGTTAATGATAGAACTGGTTAGACAGGTATTTAGCAAAAAGAGCGTCACAGGATGACACAATGTCCATGTTTGTCAGACATCGTGGTATGGCTATGGCTGGTCATTGACACGCTAGTACTGCAAGCTTATATGTGTTCCAAAAGCGGAGAAAATTCAAACCAATGATTTCTACATTGGCGTGAGTACATATAGAAAGACGTCTGTAATCTGCAAAGAAAGCACCAAACCACATAATATCTGTTGTTAAATTCACTCTTTTCTCCTTGTATGCAATAGTGATGACGCCATAGGTGCATTTCTTGAAATGTCTGGGGAGGCTTTGTAAGAGAAACTTCTCGCGTACGATTGTTTTTCCCGCCCAAATAAAAGACGTTCCTACATTTGCAGGCCTCTATGTCAATTATGTCACGTCTGTTTTAGCTTTTTTTCCCGCACACGGTGTAATTATTTGGTTGCACCTCAAAATTATTTTTGATTTGTGGTATTTTTTAGTTTAGTGTAAACTGTAACTTCATGTGAGAAGTTTCATAAGATATAATATTTATATTTTGAATCTAATATTTTAATATTTCTTATAGAAGTCATTATCTTGATATGATAAATTCTATTAATAAATTATTTTTTATATTACAAATATTAATTTAATTTTAGAAAAAAATATGCTAGAACTCGTTGTCTCAATGTGATGAGTGACTAGTTATGTTTAGGGTTTTTTTTAAATGTGTTAGATTATATTAAAAATAACAACAAACTATGAAAATTATATTAGACCTTCAAAAATGCACATTAAAAAGAAAAAAAACAACAAACTTAATACATTGACATAAGGACGTAAATAACACTAGCATAGCAGTATTGATTAAGAAGTTTTAATCTTCATAACCAGTAGACTCGTCGGAAGTAATATTAAGTTCTTCAATTCTCCATTCTTTTTGTTGTTGTCATTCATGTACGAATTGTAACCATGTTTCTAGGTCTCCATCATTTATGTTGTTTCTTGGTCATTTGTCTGAGTTGGTGGGATATTCAATGGTACGAGTAAGGTCGAGATCATCAAACTCAACAAACAAATCGATATTAGACAAAAAGTGAAAGAAATATGTCTCAATCATACCAGCAAGGTCTACATCATCGCTTAAATGAAACCTCGTGCATAATACTAAAAATTTATAATATAAGGAACATACTCTTCTACTTCTTCTGAGCAGAACCCTTGTTTCTATATTAAACTTCAACTCGTGTAGTTATTTTCTAGGAAACACATGGTCATAGATCTACAATCATAAAGAACAGTTGCGCAAATAATTGATATGTTTAAAAAAACTCAAGCTTTGGAAGTAAAAGATTGAATGTGTTTTAGATTTTTTTTTTGCTTCAATATCATAGTAAAATGACTTTCAACTAATACATATTAATAATTGTTGAAGATGATTAAATGAGCACTGAAAAGTTGGTGAACTTGATCACTATTTTGGCCTATGTGAAATACATGTTTTCATGATATGAAATGATAAATGCACCACAAAAAGTTTTCTGGTTTGAGTTGATACATCACTAAAAGTTGCTAAAAAAGCCAATTGTTACATTATTGCTGCAATAAATGACCTCTGAAAAAGTAGTTAAAACGGTGCATAAATTGAGCAATGAAAAGTAGCTGAAAATGAATATTTTGGCCTGGTTGAAATACACGTGTTTTATGATTTGAAATGATAATTCAACATTGAAAAGTGTTTTGATTTGAGTTGATATTTCATTGTACAATAGTCGAAAGGGTGCATTATTTTGCCTGAGTTAAAAACACGTTTTCTGATTTGAGTTGATATATCACTAAAAAGTTGTTGAAGATGATAATGCACCACTATTTCACCCATTTTCTGAAAAATGCTTGAATTCTACAGTAAATGACCAACAAAATAAGTTAACGTTGCATTATTGGTGCAATAAATGACCTCTGAAAAGTAACTGACATTGTGCATTGTGCATTAATTGAGCACTGAAAAATAGTTGAAACAATTCCTACTGAGATGACATTTCACTGGCCAAGCAATGAATGGTAATTAATGAGTGTCGTATTTGTTTTAATTTGGTTCACTTCAGATAAATCTTCACAAGACTTATTATTTTTACAATTGTATTGAACAAGGAAAAGTCAATCTCTCTATGAAGCTATCGCAAACAAGTTTTTCACAGTCGTCCACCCAAATGGCCAAGTTGTTGAAATTGAATATGGTGTTCAGTTCATGTTACAGAGTCTCATGAACATGATATTCATGGTAGATGTATGTCATAGGAAAATAAAGATGAAAACAAAAAAAATTAGAGTTTTTGTTTCAAGTTTGAGGTATCAACACATCAATTCAGAGACTCCGCTCAAATATGGAGCAATCATGCTTGACGACGACGACGATATAGTTGTTATGGTTGTCCCTCATAAATTTTCCAATAATCAAATGATTGAGATTATTGTCGAAACGGCAGATGTTTCTACCCCCTCAACTGGTGCATCGATGACTGCAGAAGCATGACCATCAGAAGATGTAGATAACCTTATTGGGCGATTAGTTGAAATCCTTGTTGATTTTAGCGATGACGATAAAACTTATGTTCCACTTATGATGGACGATGACACACCAATAATTAATGAATCTGATATCGTCGATGCTACTTTATAGGGACAAGCCTTTGATACAGAGGGTGATGTCTGAGAGGCAGTCGTTTTTCGTGACCAAGCAATACACAATGCTCCGCCAGTTTGGGCACATCCACCAACAACCATGCAACCAGAAAGTTTGCAACCCCAGATGCCTCAATATCATCATGTAATTGTAATGTATGAGATAAACTATAATGCCATAAGAAATACTAAGAATCTTGATATGCTATATATATGTGCAACCCACTAGGGGACCTAGGATGAAGGATCGACAGAGTTTGGAGTTGGGTCACAGTTTGGGAGTAAGAATGATACACAACTAGTTGTGAATGAGTTTTCTATCAAATCGCATATGGAATTAACTGTTGTGGAGTTTGACCAGAAGATATATTTTGTCAGATGTATTAACAACATCGATTTTAAGTAGATGATATGTGTCTCATACCTACAACAAAAGATGTTGTAGGAAGTCACAAGGTTCCACAGCCAGCTCAGTTGCACGTTTAGATCCTTGACACAAGACCACAAACACTTAGACTCCGATGTCATATGTGCATACGTAAAGCTACTGGTGGAGAAAAATCCAAGCATCTCAATATCAATGATTGTGGCATCAATATGGAATACATTTGGGTATATTTTGTCTTATTGCTAGTTTTGGATGGAAAAATGAAAAGCTATGACACTACTGTACAGTGATTAGGATCAGTTGTATAATGAGTTGCCACATCTGTTGCACGCAATTAAATATTTCATCCCAGGGACCATTGTTCGCTCGTACACTTATACTGCAATCATGTTTAATGGGCAAGTTATCCTTGGTAAGAGAGTTTTTGGAGGCTTGTTTTGGGCTTTCAAGTCACAAATTGAAGGCTTTCATTACTGTAAATAGATGGTTCAAATGGATGACACTTTTTGTACAACTTATATAAACACGTCATTATGATAGATATTGCACAAGATAGTGACAAACATCTTCCACATTACCTTTTCCATTGTTAAAAATGAGTCAGGGGAAATGTGAAATTTATTTATATCAAACTTGCGCTCATACGTAGTCACTCAAGATGAGGTTTGTATGATCTCAAATCATTCACCTGGGTTGTTGGCCACGATTAACTGACCAGAACGTAGGTGGTCGCCTCTGCATATATTTCCTATGTATTGCATACGTCATATTTTTTTCAAATGTTATGATGAGTTTCAAGAATAAGAAGATAAAGAAATGGATTATCAACATGAGTAACTTATTTAGTTTTACCCTTCATTTTTTTTCTTTTTCTTTGTTTAAAATTATTATACTCACACCTAGCTATTTTTTCAAGCTACGTATTACTACAACATAGCTTTCATACAAGATTGAAAATTTTGAGAAAGTATGGAGAAGAGGTGTATAACTTTGCGACTAAGATATCTCGGGAAATATGGGCACAGACATATGGCAATCAAGGTCAACGTTATGGTTATATGAAAACCAATCTTGTCGAGAGTATAAATTCAGTGCTAAAAGGGACTAGACATATTTTGGTGGCAAGTATTGTCTAGGAGACATACTTTAGATTAGGTAAAGTTTAGGCAGACAAAGGTGCCCAAGTAGAGACAATGCTCAACGAAGGTAGAAATTGAGCTTAAGATCTGGATAAAGTGATGACCAAAAATCAAACTCATGCAACATCAATGTATGCTCGTAATTTCACTAGACTATAATATGATTATATTGTCCAAGCACTTGTTCGACTACATGAGGGTGGAATTTATGTCACCTATACTAATATTCTGAATAGAAGATGGTGGGATTGTGATTGATTTCAAGCCATCATATACTCATTTGTTATCGCGGTTGCTACATGTATGCATGTGAATGTGGACCCATACATTTGTGTTAATGATGGTTATAGCTTATATATTATACGTAACATATACAATTGCGACTTTAAGTATCACCCTGAACGATGCATATTGGCCACCTACTGTCTATGAATAATGGTTACCCAATCCGCAATTATGA